GTTATTCATAGTTATTATTTTGAGTTCTTTCTGAAATGTAGAACAGTAGGTATTTGCTTGCTGTTATTTCACTTTCCTTGCATGGGTGGAAGGGGGGCAGAAGGGTGGAACAGGGCAGAAGTTGAGTACATTTAGGATTTACTTGCTTATTAATTTAGAGAAGGTGTATAACATGACTTTTTCCTTCAACAGAGTAAATATCATGTAGATTGCATTCACCTGGGACATATCTGAAGAACAGCTGTACCCTTCTAGCCCCAGTTCATTAGATGGTTAACTTACATGAAAGGAATACTACTTAATGGAGATAAACCATTAAAATAGTTTCAAATAACCCTTGTTTTAATACTGCCCAATATTTCTGAAATGTATTATTGGAGATGGATGCTTTTATTGTTAGAAGGAGAAAAGCTACTAGTCAGACTGTTTTCAGTTACAATATAGGTGAAAAACTAGAGAGGGAGAAGGTGCTCCTTCAAAAGCTTGATTCTTAACGATCTTTTTACCTCCAATTAGTATAAACAAAAGAATGGCCTCTGAGTTCTTATCCTGGCTTTTCACTAGTGTCACTAAGATATTGACTCTTTCAGGTAGAAGCAGCCATTATCTTGAGAGAGAGAAAATGGTCAATTAATTTCAATAATAGAGGTCAAATTTATAATTCTGTGTCATTCAAAATTAATACCTAGGTATTGCTTCAAAATATGAACCGTTACCTACAGCTTTATTGAAGTCTTTGCCTGGAATGCTGCTCTTTGATGCTGCTCATCAAAGTCAGTGGTAACTTTTAATATTAAAGTTCTTCAGAAAAGAATGACTTAACAAGCACTTATGTTTTAATTTTCAGACCTGTTTGGTACTTGCTAATTGTATTAAAGTGCCTTGGACATGGAGATGCTCAGAACTCTTGAAAAATTGAATAACTAGAGATTATACATCCTATGAGGCAAATAATAATGGTCAATTCTTTAATACAGTCAAATCACATTATCTTACTTGTGTAGGTACACCCACTGAAATCCTGGAGCAATTGGAAAAGTCATTTTACCTTCCTTTCGTGGAAGGGATAATACATATAAATAGACGAGGCCAGATACTTTATACCAGTGTTCATTGTGTTACTGCACATTGTAATGACTAGATGCTGCTATGCACTTTTGTATAATGCTTCCATTCTTTTAATTTTGTTACTTAAAATGTTTCATATTGTGAACATGAAGCTGAAAGATATTTAAAACTCTGCAATAAGGACTGTTTATTAGAACTGTGTTTGGGATCTGATTGTACAAATACTCCTCTGCTGAGAAGAACATACATTAGAGCTGGCTTTTTATTATTAATGTTAGGTGGATGTTTTCTTTCTAGTTAATATTGGGCTTATTGCATTAGAAGCTTTCTGGATCAAATCTGTATTAATCAGGTTTTAAATCTGTTCTAAGAAAATTTTGATTTTGGCCTTCTGCCTGATTCTTTGGTTCAAATTGATTGTATATTGGGCACACTGGGTTTTTACTACAAGGTCAAGTGTTTTGCACATCTTCATGGAGTGACACAAAAATGGAGTTCTAAGACTTGTATTTAAATAGGGATAGTTACTATTTGGTGGGAGTTAAAATGTTTCTTGTTTAAATTCTTACACCTCAGCATTTCCCACACATTTTTGTTTCATTGTATTTCTTCAATGTTTTCATATACTGATGTAGGCAGTCCCTGAATATGGCATGAGCTATCTTTCTCTTAAGTCACCTTGCAGTCTGTAGTCTGATCTATACCAAACAGAACCTTAAATTACATATAGTATTCAGAATATTAAATTTGGATTAAAGTGCTAAATGTGTTTTTCTTCTCTTTTCATCAAACTACCCAGAGGTACCTCAGTCTTTCAAAACCAGTAATTCTTAGCTTGTTCTTAAATCTCAACTGTTGTCTAAATTCCACATGAGTTACCCTTTGCTTATATCATGGCTCATTGAAAAGACTTTAAAAAATATGCGTGAGCATCTGTGGCAAAAATCTTGGCCTACTTCTCCAAGCTTGCTTAATGAAAGAGAATGGTTCATATGGATATATCCTCCCCCCCTCCATATTAATTTCCAACGTAGATGTCGCCATAACCTCCTACAGCAGTTTTCCAAAACAGACCTGTTCTGCTCAGCCTAACTAGTTTCAGAAGCTGTTTCTCTTAAATATCGATTGCTTTAATACCCTCACTCTCTTCTGTGCTCTATGTACTTCTGAAGATCCAGGTACAGTTTGGGTTCAAAAGATCAAATAACAAGTTTTACAACCAAAAAATGCTATAAATCCTGCTTCGCAGATTTGCCATTCTGACAGTCTTCTGTCTTTCCTCTTGCTCTTCATGACAGACAATGACTATTTTTATCCCAGGGTTTCTTCATCAGTAATGGAATATGTATGTTTTTATCAGTGTAGTTTAATTATTCCTCACACAGGCAAACCAACCTGTATTAGCAGAAACATTGTTTTGCTGGTATAAACTCTGTGTATATACCAGGAGAACCAGCTGGTATAGTTAGACTATGCATGGCAGGAACCTCTTCATAAACCAAATTCACGTGCCAGTAGGCTTGCAAATTAATTGCTTTAAATTAAGGAATGCGTGCTAAGAATGTCCTGTTGACTTTGCTGCAACTGCTTGAATGCTTGTGACGTGTAAACTCAAGTGCATTAAAAGAGGAGAGCTCTTGGTTTGAATCCAGTGTAAGGTTTGCCACTGACCTCAGTTAAGTTAAGGACATCACCTCAGCTGTTTGTTGGGTCAAAGCCTTGCTTTTCATGAAGTGGAAATGGCATTATACCTTCTTTTATGGAACAATTAGAGATATAAATCAAACCCATTTCCCATTACTACTTTAAAGTAATTTCCCCAATGACTATCACAGCTTTTCCTGTGGTTACTAAAATTGATGTGGTTATTGTCACCAGCAGGAAATAGGACTGTGTACGAAGCAACACAAAGAGAAACCTCTTAGGAGGACTGATACAGATAAATTTACAATCTCCTGCTACTTATTGTGTTTCTCTTTTGACACCCATTGTATGCAATGGATTGCGAAGCCAGAAGATGCTCAGAATAGCTGTGCAGTGTGGAGGCTTTAGCTGTCACTTGCTCAAATGAATTGAAAGGTCATTTCAGATCATTAATATAGCCTTAAGTGTCTGTTGTCAAGGTGGCCTGGAGATGCTTAATTGACTCTATACACTTTGTTTTTGTACTGCTTTGGGTTCACCTTGTCTTGTTTTCCTAGGTACTGTTACCCATCGTATTTTAGGATTGTATATGTTGCTTTGGGACCTGTATGTGAATCCTCTGGTCAGAGCTTTCTTGGTATTACACGTGTCTGAATCACGCAGCATAGCGAGTCCTGAGATGTTTTAGGTGACTTTTCCTGACGGAACAAACCCATTAGCTTCTAGCTGCTACCGCAGCATATGTCTGATGCAGGTTAAATTGATCAGCATGTAGGTTAGAAATTTGTATTCTGAAAACAATTTTAATAATGAAACTTGAGAGTGTGGGCAGTTTCGGTACTACGGTCCTAGTGACCACATGTAGACGCATCAGACTTGGCTCCTTGGCCGGCGCCGCGGTGCACAGTCGGGCCAGGTGGCAGAGCACGGCCCTGCCTTTCTAGTTTGTGGCTTCAGGCTTGGCAACGGACTGCGAAAATAGCAGTGGGGCTGGGGGTATGGTCTGTCACCCTGCCTGGGAAGCCTGACTTCTGCAGCGCAGGTCAAGGTGAATAGCAGGACAAACAGTTTCACAGATGAGGTGGAGAAAGGAGATTGCAGTGCAGTCAAGGTTATGATGGGAACCTGGAAAAAAACCCACCGTTGCTGTTAGAAAGTGGAATTGGGGTTGGCTACTCAGAGTTGAGCTGAAGGTAGATGTGACCATAGCAGTTTCAGAGCTTCTGTCAGGTTTCTAAAGATGAATTTCTCATGTATTTTTCTACTTTCTAGGTTTCTCGGTTGTTTACTTTGAGTACTTTTGCCAGTAGCTGTTGCTTGCTAGTAATTTTACCAAATGATGAGAATGGGTTATTTGGACAGCATATAGATGCCTGCAAAAATGCATTTAAAAATCCTACTGTTTGTCAGGGCTTTGAGGCGTTTTTGTGAAAAATCAGTGCATAATTTCAGTTCCTACAATAATTTAAATCTCGTAGTGGAAACGGCCACGGAAAGAAAATCGAGGCTCCAACGCAGGCTCCGAAACCACCGGCTCGTGAATGCGTTAATCCCGACATTTGCTTCCCAGGCTGCAGAAACCCGTCGCGCCTCTTCCGAAAAAGGCACGCGCCGAACGACGGCATGGACGTATTTCCACCCGTTTGCTTGTAAACCGAAGCCGTTCCTCTCGGTTCGGCGAGGACGCCGATGTCGCGGTCGCCTGCTGCGGCGGCCCTCGTTGGCCTTTCCGCTCGCCGCGGGCCCCGCGATCTAGCCCCGCCGCGCGGGCGCGCCCTGCTC